ACATGAGTTATCTATAGAGGTAGACGTAGCACCACTGGCACAGACACAGTTAATAGGCAATCGCTCTTTAATTAACAGGAATCACACAGGGTCAGATGGAAATTCATTTTCTTTGGCAGCTGCTTCTTACACTATGGCTCAAGCAAGAAATGCTGCTGGTTTTTCCAGAATCAGAAATGTTCGCATCATTGATATGGAATTTGGGCGCGTTCCCCCCAGTTCAGCCAGAGTTAACCCCGGACCGGTGCTACATGAGTTACCTGTAGAGGTAGACGTAGCACCACTGGCACAGACACAATTAATAGGCAATCCCTCTTTAATTCACAGGAGTCATTCTGGCGGTGAGAGAGTTCAGCCTTCTCCTAACTCCCTCTATCTGTGCCCTGATATCTCAAACCCAGTAAGTGACCCAGAGACATCACAGCCTGCTGGCACAGAGTCACTCTCTCTCGCACGGACCAGTGCTCCTCACCACTTTACCAGACAGCTCACACGCAACCTGCGAATGTTATCCGGATCTGCTGAAAAAAAAAAAAAAAACGGCAAGCAAACAAAAACTCAAAAGGCCAAATCCAGGAACAAAACACTCCACAATCATTCTGAAATAGTCTACTTACCCAACAAAGCCATCATCCAACGCGTCCTTTCCTCTACACTTTGCCCCCAAAAAACTAGAAAACCCTAGAATTAGAAAAATCACCCAGAAAGTGGCCTACAACAATCTTTAAACCAACACCCTATCGCCTGGTGATATACTATAACAAAATACCAAATTTACAAATAATCGCGCAAAATTGGAACATCACGAGCCACAGAGTGGTCTCTGACACTGCCCTTATGGAGCAATACGATTACAGCCTCAGCATCTGTAGTCATTTTCCGTTCTGTATGTCTTTGAAGTGAACGACGGGAGCCGGATCCAAATTTTTTACCCGTTTCTTTTTCCCCCAAGTTCTCTCGCTCTCTCACGTCTCCCTCCCACCTGTCTGTGTGCTCACTGTGCCGTGTTTGTCTGTAACCCCCCCCCCCCTCCTGCTCAGTGTAGATAGACAGACGCCGCCACGCATCTTGACCAATCACACGGCTTTAACAGAAAAAAACGGGGAAAAAATCCAGATGCAGCTCCCAATCAGGAGCCGGCTCCCGTCGTTCACTTCAAAGAGCTGGCTCTTAGAGCCGGATTGTTCGCGACCGACCCATCACTACACGGCACAGTGAGCACACAGACAGGTGGGAGGGAGACGTGAGAGAGCGAGAGAACTTTACGCTACATTGACAGAAACACTGGAAAGGTGACGAAAATTAGTGACAGGTAACGTAAAGTTAGGACACATCTTAATATTCCTCCAGTGTCCTGTGGGTTTTCCCCGGGTGCTCCGGTTTCCTCCCACAAAGTACTGTTACTGTCGGGTGGCACCTCAGTCTCTGCTTTACGCATAGCGGGTGTAACTACACAGGACAAAAAAATGCAACAGGTCTCACATTAGCTTTCACTCCCCTGGTTTTAGCCATTAATACAGCACAATCTTCCTTCCAATGTCCTTTCTCATGACAATAGTTACAGATATTCCCATTGTCAAAATGATCACTTGCTTTAAGTTCAGGTTTGAAATGGCCAATTCTCTTTGAACGTGTCACGTCAAACGCAACGGCATCAAAACAATGTCCTCGCGCACTAACATCACGAGCCACAGAGTGGTCTCTGAAACTGCCCTTATGGAGCAATACGTACACAGCAGCTGAAACAGCAGCCTCAGCAGCTGTAGTCATTTTCCATTCTGTTACGTATGTCTTTGAAGTGAACGACGGGAGCCGGATCCAAATTTTTTGCCCGTTTCTTTTTCCCCTCTCTATGTAGCGCCAAGTTCTCTCGCTCTCTAACGTCTCCCTCCCACCTGTTCGTTTGCTCACTGTGCCGTGTAGTGATGGGTCGGTCGCGAACGATCCGGCTCTAAGAGCCAGCTCTTTGAAGTGAACGACGGGAGCCGGCTCCTGATTGGGAGCTGCATCCAGATTTTTTCCCCATTTTTTTCTGTTAAAGCCGTGTGATTGGTCAAGATGTGTGGCGGCGTCTGTCTATCTACACTGAGCAGGAGGGGGGAGGGAGGGGTTACAGACACACACGGCACAGTGAGCACACAGACAGGTGGGAGGGAGACGTGAGAGAGCGAGAGAACTTGGCGCTGCATAGACAGAAACACTGGAAAGGTGAGGAAAATTAGTGACAGGTAACGTAAAGTTAGGACACATCTTAATAATCCTCCAGTGTCCTGTGGGTTTTCCCCGGGTGCTCCGGTTTCCTCCCACAAAGTACTGTTACTGTCGGGTGGCACCTCAGTCTCTGCTTTACGCATAGCGGGTGTAACTACACAGGACAAAAAAATGCAACAGGTCTCACATTAGCTTTCACTCCCCTGGTTTTAGCCTTTAATACAGCACAATCTTCCTTCCAATGTCCTTTCTCGTGACAATAGTTACAGATATTCCCATTGTCAAAATGATCACTTGCTTTAAGTTCAGGTTTGAAATGGCAAAATCTCTTTTAACGTGTCACGTCAAACGCAACGGCATCAAAACAATGTCCTTGCGCACTAACATCACGAGCCACAGAGTGGTCTCTGAAACTGCCCTTATGGAGCAATACGTACACAGCAGCTGAAACAGCAGCCTCAGCAGCTGTAGTCATTTTCCATTCTGCATGTCTTTTAAGTGAACGACAGGAGCTGGCTCCTGATTGGGAGCCGGATCAAAATTTTTTGCCCATTTCTTTTTCCCCCAAGTTCTCTCGCTCTCTCACGTCTCCCTCCCACCTGTCTGTGTGCTCACTGTGCCGTGTGTGTCTGTAACCCCTCCCTCCCCCCTCCTGCTCAGTGTAGATAGACAGACGCCGCCACGCATCTTGACCAATCACACGGCTTTAACAGAAAAAAACGGGGAAAATCCAGATGCGGCTCCCAATCAGGAGCCGGCTCCCGTCGTTCACTTCAACGAGCTGGCTCTTAGAGCCGGATCGTTCGCGACCGACCCATCACTACACGGAACAGTGAGCACACAGACAGGTGGGAGGGAGACGTGAGAGAGCGAGAGAACTTGGCGCTACATAGACAGAAACACTGGAAAGGTGAGGAAAATTAGTGACAGGTAACGTAAAGTTAGGACACATCTTAAAGGGGAACTTCGGCAGATTTTTACCCTAGTCTTGATCACTAGAGGTCACCGAGTACTGTCGATAGGAAAAACAACGACCAGAATTGGTTCTAGCAAACTGGAGATCCTGCAGCTAATGGCCAGAGCTCCCAGTTAGTTATAATACACTTCTTGGGGGCATATCCTAAAGAGTGCCTTTTGCTCCTCTTTACAGACACAAAATGCAGTTAAAATGTGTGTGCAACATGATCAGTGACAACAACATGCCTTTTCAACTCATACGTTGTGCAGAAACCGTACAAATCAGTACTCTCGCCTACCTGTTTTTCCACCGCTCGCTTCACCGAAAGCCCAAAATAATCGATTACAGAGATAATGCCTTCGCAACGAAAAAAAGTTTATTTCCCCCCAAGAAATGTCCATGTCTTCACACACTACTCTCCGATTTGCACACTTCCTGCAACAATCTCTTCTTCTGCGTATCCCTGCAACAAGTGAAATCCCACGGGACTTCAGCGTGGGACTGCTCTGGCGCTGAAGTCCCGTGGGATTTCTTGTTGCAGGTAAATGCAGAAGAAGAAATGAGTGGAGATCGGAGGTGTTTACAAGTGAAGAAGCTTGGAGTAAGAATAACGTGTGTTTATCTACTGTGGAGAAGAAATGGTTTGTGCCTTTCCAATGGTGGCAACAGAATGAGAAGGTACAAGTGCCTACACTTTCACCGTCTACCTTTCCATGACCATGAGACACTGCAGTTGTGGCTAGTTGTTCTTCAGCTGGATGTGCAAACTCCCAAACAAGTACTATGCGATCACGGAGATAATGCCTTCACGACGAAAAAACGTTTATTTCCCTTCAAAAATGTGTTGCCGCACATCCCTTCTCAAGCCGTGTCTGCCAAAACGAAGCTAAATGAAGTTATGAATATAACATTACCTCCACAGTGGTTGCAGCAGTCTTCATCCTCGGAATGGCATTTCTCTTCAGCCGGCCCCGCTGTGTTGTGTCTCTGTAGTCATCCTCCTCAAAATGTTCGCTGCAAATGCGGTGATCATTTTCACATAGTACTTGTATGGGAGTTTGCACATCCAGCTGAAGAACAACTAGCCACAACTGCAGTGTCTCATGGTCATGGAAAGGTAGACGATCAAAGTGTAGGCACTTGTACCTTCTCATTCTGTTGCCACCATTGGAAAGGCACAAACGCGAACCATTTCTTCTCCACAGTAGATGAACACACGTTATTCTTACTCCAAGCTTCTTCACTTGTAAACACCTCCGATCTCCACTAATTTCTTCTTCTGCGTATCCCTGCAACAAGTGAAATCCCACGGGACTTCAGCGCGGGACTGCTCTGGCGCTGAAGTCCCGTGGGAAGAAGAGATTGTTGCAGGAAGTGTGCAAATCGGAGAGTAGTGTGTGAAGACATGGACATTTTTGAGGTGAAATAAAATAATTTATAATAATAAATTTTTTTTCGTCGCGAAGGCATTATCTCTGTGATCGATTATTCTGGGCTTTCGGTGAAGCGAGCGGTGTAAAAACAGGTAGACGACAGTACTGATTTGTTCGGTTTCTGCACAACGTTTGAGTTGAAAAGGCATATTGTTGTCACGTAAGGGTCCTGAGCATGTTGCACACACATTTTAACTGCATTTTGTGTCTGTTAAGAGAAGCAAAAGGCACTCTTTAGGATATGCCCCCAAGAAGTGTATTATAACTAACTGGGAGCTCTGGCCATTAGCTGCAGGATCTCCAGTTTGCTAGAACCAAATCCGGTCGTTGTTTTTCCTATCGACAGTACTCTGTGACCTCTAGTGATCAAGACTAGGGTAAAAATCTGCCGAAGTTCCCCTTTAATAATCCTCCAGTGTCCTGTGGGTTTTCCCCGGGTGCTCCGGTTTCCTCCCACAAACAAAAAAATACAAATATAATCTATATAAATAATGTAAATATAATCTATAAATAAATAAAAATGTATATATAAATCTATTTTATACATAAATCTATAAATAAAAATTCTAATCTTTAATAAATCGTGATCTGCATTATTTATTAATGCCATACATGCATTTTGAATAAACATTCATTATTAAGAAAAACCATGAAATTACCATGAAACAACAGCACAGCGTTACTTTCACTAAGTGTCTGCTCACAATAAAGGAAATGTTGCCTTGGTAAAAGATAGGAGGTAAGCATCTCCCCACATACTCTTTCATTCATTCTCATCCTCAATGATCCTTCAACAAGATTGGACGGCTGAGGATGCTAGTACATTCGTGACTCCCTCTTTACTCCACGGTATTGGTGGCTCCATCTCCATCAAATTTTTCTATTACTCTGAGTTTCTGGCCCAGGAGAAACGAGGAGAGCATCTGAGCTGGCTCTGCATGTTCTGGATGATCGGTGGGATCTACGCCTCCGCCATGGCCTGGGCCATCATCCCACACTACAGTGAGAAAACGAACAGATCACTCAGTCAGGAAATCATTGTTACAGACAATATGTAGTTAATGTGTTACTTTAACCATTTTATTTTTCACTACAAAATGGGATCATTGCATTGGACAGGGGTGGAATCTAACTAACTATATTTACTTAAGACCTTTTTCTAATTACAGTTTTGAGTTATTTTTACATATTATCCTATTTTATACTTCCACTTTACTAAAATTTCAGATGGAAATATTAATATCTACAAGACCTTTTTAAGTTACAGATGAACATTTAAAAAAATGTGATCAACTTCTAAAATATAATGCATTTTACAGGCTACTCAATTTTGATTGGCCCTAATCATAAAAAATAGTAATAAATATATAATCTAAGGAAGAGATACTATTCAATACTTATTCCACCACTGCCTTTTGATGCTTCACTATAGAACAACTACATTAGTGGCTCTCAGGGTTCAGAGATTTTCAGCTGTGTTTGAGTGGGCTGCAAAACAAGAATTACCTTAATTTTCATCTTGTTTACTTTAGTCACCAGCAGTTATCTTAATAAGGTTAGGTATAATCAGAACTTATTTGATCAGTGGTTTCAGCCTTTCTACTAACAGTGTGTGTTTGTGGTATAAAATTGCAAGTATACTGCAGCTCTTGCTTCGCTTAGAGGAGTTTTTGAAAATACCAGACTGAATGTTTTCAGCAGCTATACAAATAGTATAGCACAAAGAAAAGAACAGCTGTGTAATGAGCTTCTTTACATACATGATCCTGCTACGGAGCCTTCATCCAGAGAGAGTCTGTGGTCTAAAGCATGTATGTTTACTGTAGATGTTTCAAGGCTAGGCAATCAATTATTTTCATTATAGCAGTTTTGTCTGGGGCTATAAGACATCTTAGTTTCATTGTTGACCCAGTAACTCCCTCCATTTAGCATTTATAAGAAGTATATAAACACATAATAATGATTCATACCACTCAAAATGCAGGTGAAAGCTGATATATAGACATTTCAATTGTCATGAAACATCTGTACATCATGATTGATGACACATTGTAACATAGCTGTGATCATATTTAATTACTACACAAAGCCAAATCTGTACAGTCTTCTGACAAAGTGAATATTTTGAATGGAGTACATATTCTGTTGTAATAACTTCTTATTTGTGTAAAGCCTCTTTTCCAGATTTTTGACCTGCATAATGTACTGTATGTTATACTATAAAAAATATTGGCAAAAGGAGAGAAACCTGGCTAAATAAAATGGTGCACATATGATAAAGTCACTGCAATGCAGTTTTCAATCCCTGCATGAAACCAGAGACTTACAGCATCAAAAGGGGAGTCTTGCATCTGCCTCTTAGCTCTTGTTCTCTCTGACACCGCCTTTCTCTATCTCCTCAATTAGGCTGGAGTTTCCAAAAGGGCTCGGCCTATCAGTTCCACAGCTGGCGTGTCTTTGTGTTGGTGTGTGCCCTACCCTCTGTGGCAGCCATCTCTGCCCTCACCACCATGCCTGAGAGCCCCCGCTTCTACCTGGAGGTCAGCCTGTCAGCTCTCGCCACACTCAGTCCTTGTGGAAATATTAGTTGAAAATACGTTGCCTTCTTGACTGCAATAACAGCCTTGAAAAAAGAATGGATCACTTGCCAAGTGGAAGATGCTGTGCTGCAGACAAAGTGCTGCTTACACACTTTTCCAGAATATTTTAAATAAATAAATAAATAAATAAATATGTTCATGTATACATATATACATACTGGAGCAGGCAAAACAAGCTACTTTTTATTCAGCGTATCTTGAATACTGACACACGAAAAAATGAACAGAAAAGTGTGGTGGGACAAGAATGGACCAGAATCAAAGTTCAGTGAAAACCCACTAAGGTGGGTGCTTTATTTTTCTTGGTGCAGCAAAGCAGTGAGTGCAGCGGTGTAGGCCCCTCGTGGCGTGGCTGGTGTGTCGGGTTGGGTCAGGTCTTGGGGAAATCAGCTGGGTAGGCGAGGTGTAGTAGAGGGGCTCATCGGTGAAGTGGTTCAGGGAGAGAGCAGGAGACTGGCAGGAGTTCCAGTACAGCCGGGGGGGTCATTCGGCTCCAGTCCTCCTTGTGTTTGGTTTATGGGCCTTCTGTGTGCAGAAAATAAAGCAGTGGTTAGCTGGAGAGGCGAACACAGACTCACTTTCCTCGCTCGGTGTGGCTCCTTTTGTCCTGGCCTGACGAGAGGGCAAACGGGAGGCAGCCTGAGGTGGTAATTAGTGATTGCCAGCCGTGCCTTGTTGTCGCCTACTGCTTGGCCATGTGCTTGGGTTGAGGAACACAATAGGAGGCAGCTCTCCACCAGCCATGTCCTCTAGAGGGTGCTGAAGCGACCTTTGAAGGTGTGTACCCGGCATGGCAACGGTTCAAGTGCCATTTGGCCACAAAAGTTAGAGATAATACACAAGATGTTTTAATTTGATTCTTATTGATAATGTTTTTGAAATGTTCAATTCATGAAGGAATCTTTCACAGCTCATATACAGTATGACATCTAGTGCAGTGGTGATTTTTGCAGTCTAAGATCATTACCATCCCCATATCCCCCACAGTCTGTTTATGTGCTCATTTATTCATGTATTCACTGGTTTATACAAACAGAAACTCTTATTTCTGTTGTATTGTACCAAATGTTCCTGCATGGTTTTTATTGTTTTTGGTTTAACTTTGATGTTTTAAGACCCCTGTTGTCACCCACCCACACTTCCTTTGATACTCACCGACATCAGCAGCTGGTTGCAGAGATCCAGAGAAAAAAATCTGCAAATTTGTATGAAATAGTAAATTTTTTAATATTTCGACATAAAAGTACATCATACATTTAATTTAGTCCAGGTTTTTATTGCAAGATCACTGGTTTAAGTCTCACAATGTAATTGAACCAATCTGTGCATAAGAATGTATGTATGTATGTATACACTGACGTGTCTTTGAGCCTTAAAGGAGTAGTTAAAATGTTTGAGAAGACTGATACCTCTCTTCTGTATGTAGGGTGTAGGTTAGCTTAGCTTAGCATAAAAAAAAGGGGGAACAGCGTCCAAAGGTAACAAAATCCAGCTCTCTCTCTCTCTCTCTCTCTCTCTCTCTCTCTCTCTATATATATATATATATATATATATATATATATATCTTGTTTGAAGAATATAAAATAATGAGATATGAGATATAACATGTTAATTAGTCAATTTTAGAAGTGCTGGTAGGCAGATTTTCTTGCTTTTGTACAGAGCCAGGAACTGTTCCCCTTGTTTCCAGTAGCCTATTTGTGCAACACTATGCTAACTGACTGCTAGATTCATATTTGTGTGGTACAGTATCAATCTTCTCATCTAACTCTTGATAAGAAAGCAAATAAGTGTATTTTCCAAAATGTGAAACTATTCCTTTAAGCACTTAACCCACATATGCACCAGTGTGTGCATGTGAAACACAAATTGCTGAATAAAATTAATGTGTTGTATTTAAATAGAAGCAAAGCTTTTTTTTTATCCTGAAAACATTTTCCTTAATTGGCTGTTCAATATTTATTTTCAACATCTAATTTTCCCAAATGTGTGTCAAAGTTTTGTGGTGTTTGGCACTCATTTCATGATCGAATCAAAACATTACTCAGTCTTACACCACATCACTAACCAGAAAAAAACCAGAGGCGTCACAAACTATAGCAAGCTGTAAAGACATGTTGAATTATTGAGAGTGACTCAGCACATGTTGGTGACCTTTCACCCTCCCTGCTGTGGGTTTAAGTTTTTGGTTTTTCTCCTCCAGAATGGGAAACACGACGAGGCGTGTGCTACACTATTTGTTGGCCGAACTATTTCTTGTCTGGGAGCAGACCTGGAAGAAATTGGTTTGTTGGTTAATTGGTGAGTTTAAGAGGTGCTGGAAGCTGTTTCCAGTCTTTATGCTAAGCTAACTGTAGCCTCAAAGACATGACAGTGGTATCAATATTCTCATCTTCTCATTTTGGTAAGAAAGCAAATAAGCTCTATCTAAAAATGTCAAACTATTTCTTTATGTTGCCCACTAGACCAGTGGTTCCCAACCTTTTCTTTAAAGGACCCTGTTTTTAATCATTGTGTAAACTGAGGACCCTCAACTACGTGACCTATTTATCATTATTTCATATTAAAAGCAATGCATAACAATAGTACAGAACAACTTATAGTAGTTAACAACAATTGAGAACTTCTTTTGCTGAATGAAGGGTTTATAGAAAAACATGTTGATATTCCTCAATGTCAGTAATCAGAACTGGTTTTCTTAGCTCATAAAAAGTTTTTGTTCTGGATATAATAAAATCAAATGCAAAAATATGCAACGATTCTTTAACCATTCACAACTGAACTATAAAAACCAGGAGACCTGTGATGTGTTGGTTGGTTGTTTCATGTCTCCCAAATTGGAGCAAATTGTCACACAGTATAACCACAGCCATCAGCTGCAACACATTGTTTCCTCACATTGCAGGTCTTGATACTGCAATCAGTACTTCAAAAGTAAATGGACCTGTACTTGTATAGCGCCTTTCTAGTCTTCCGACCGCTCAAAGCACTTTTACACTACGTGCCACATTCACCCTTTCGCCAATGATGACAAAGTCCATCGAACAGAAACTAATATTCATACACATTCACACGCCAATGCATGGCATCGGGAGCAATTTGGGGTTCAGTATTTTGCTCAAGGATACTTCGACATGTGGCACCAGGAGCCGGGGATCAAACCCACAACCTTCCGATTAAGGAACAACCCGCTCTGCCTCTGAGCCACAGCTGCCCACTGAAGTAGATACTTCAAAGACAGTGATATATTTCCTTCTATTTCACACAGGAAATGGCAACTTTCTATCTAACTCCCATGATCCCACGCTACTTCACAACATTAGCAAATTGTCTTTTGGTATTGATTTGCTAAAAGACCCCCTAGTGGCAGAGATGACATATTGCACATTTAAATGTTCATCAACACAGTTTTAATTAAACTATGTGAACACTTTAGGGACATTTAGAAATTGTCACTGCAACACAAAACAGACCTCTGGTCCTGTGTAGTGTATGCCTGAACCCGGTCTTCAGTCTGTTTCGTGCCTCATTATTTGTTACTTTTCTTCAGATTCAGAGGGAAAGTATCCACAGGAAGGAACGTGTTGCAGTGATCCTATTATTCCAGGCAAGAATTCAAGCAGTTTTATTATCGGCTCATTCATGTCACTATAAAATGAACATAGCCTAAATTCTTAGGGTAGGGTATACAAAAATGTCTGGCCTCCTCTTGAGTGCTAAGGCGAATGCAAACCACAAACTTGCAGTTCGAAGAACAAACCAAAGTCACTCACAGTTCGAAGAAAAAATCAACATGTGAAAAATTCTCACAGTTCAAGTTTTGCTTGTACACTCTAAGAAAATGAACACAGAGCTAAATGACTTGTTGCTATGCATTAGTTTTCTATATATATATATATATATATATGAAGTTAGGAATGCTAGACAAATCACCCCTAAGGGACAATAAAGTTTGTTCGATTCTATAGCGTCATTAGGATGGTAGATTATGTTGGTAGTAGTGGAGAGGACTCCAACAACCAAGTTGATTTGCTTGTGTGTCTGAAATTTTCTGCAGGAATTAGGAAGTTTTACCCTTAAAATCATGAGTAATTAGTATTAACATAATTTAAGATGTCAATAATATTATGTGAGGTATTGTACATATTTTTTTTGTTCATGATAATGAAGATATGCATGCAAACGTACAGCAATCAGCAGCTGTTTAAAGCCTTTTCCTTAAAACTGCAGGTTATAAAGCATGTCTGGTTTAAGGGTAATAAATAGCATTTGTACAGACCCAAAATTAATCTATTGTAAATTAGTGTACAAAGACATTAAAATTATTATTTTTACAAAAAGATCTATATCATTTTATAGATTTCTTTCTGTGAAGTAGCATGGGAACATGGGAGTTGTTGTCTTCACCACCACTCTAGACAGCCACAGGCACGTAACCAATGACGCATTATTATTATAAATTAAAATGTAGTTTGTATTTGGTTTTACCATGCCCTGGCAGGAAATAAATGGCAATCTCGATCAATGTTCAGAGTTTAAGCTTTTGTGGTCCACGGTTTCTTTAATGACTTCAGTGTCTACGATATCGACAAATCTGCTTTACAATTCTTCAAAAATTAGACAGGACTTCATATTTATAGCACATTTTAATCATTATTACAAATGCATTTGGCCATCAAAAGCGCTGTGTTAACATTTTGAAAACAGATCATCTCTTGTTTACTGTGTTAACATAGAATTCTACAAACCAATAAAAAATTGGAATTCTAATATATAACTTTATACATAATACATATGATATACAGTATGAACTGACATTCAGAAACTTTGGGTAACATGATGGTAGTGTCCTGGGGCTCTTGAGTTCTGGATCTGGTAGAGAACATATATTTGTGGAGAGATGTTAGGGATACATTTGTCTGGATGGATAAAAGTTATCTTCTGTATTGTTGTTTTAATACATGCGAAGTGACCATAAGCAACTTACCCATTAAGGACTCCACTCAAACTCCGAAATGCGGGTGATAAGGGTCAGGACTTTCGGGTTCACTGCATTGCTCTTCTTCTTTTCCTGGCGCTCTACTTTGGAGCCCCGGTCGAGATTGATCTTGAAGATGCACCTGTAGGTAAAGGAGTGGTACCAAATACAGACGCTGTAAGATATCCACAAAACATCAACTCAGAATAACACACCAGTCTTATCAATCTCAAATAAAAGATACACAAGGGATGGCAGGGGAGACAGGTAAGAGCTTCAAAGAGAAGTATGCTAAATCTAGCAAGTTCCAGTTTTATTCCAGGTCGGTTATTATTAAATTTGATGCACAACGTCTATGGTATACAGTATAGGCCGATGATGCATGTTCCATCTGGCTAGCATGTGAGCAGTTAGTTTGCTCGCTGCAGTAAGTCACTACGTCACCACATTCTGTGCTTTCTGGTGGGAGTGGGTCTTTGGCAGTCTCAATACTCAAATTCTTGTGTACCATGTCTGTGGCTCTCAGCCCTGAGACCATTTTTATAATATATTGTTTGACATTGTCTTTGTAGTTTTTGGACAACAATAAAGCTCTGAGGAAGAACATAAATCAAACTTTGATACACAATACTTGTTAATATGGGATACATTCTGTGTTGGTTTTGTTTTTTAATGGGATATGTTGATTATAAGAATAACTTTTAAATATCAGCAGACTTTAAGGCATCAGACAGATTGAACTGCAGTTTTAAGGACTCTGTAATCTCTTTCTAAAGAGAAAATAAAAAAGCTTTCATTCGCCAGCATGCAGTGCACATTGACATATTACCTTTTCAGGATGTGTTTGTACTGTATTTCTAAGGTCTCTTTGTGTTGGTGCTCTCTTCTTTATTAGTAAAATGTGACTACCATTTGGACCAGTTTAAGCTTCTCTAAAGATGTGACAGATACTGGTTGTTAATGCAATTCCAATTCTGTTTTTTTGATTGCAGTCGGTTTGCCTTATCACCCCTTTTAATGACCTAAATCACTAACAAGATTAAGGAACAGTCAGTGTTTCTTAGAGTGCTGAAGGTCTCTCAGCTTATCAGATCAGAATCATAAACTCAGTCTCTGAAGATGAAGCTAATTTATTATAAGCATGTGCGACATCTTCCCATTCAAGCCGATCTAGTGAATTTCAAATGAGCCAGGCCGACAATGAAGTGAACATCTGTTTATTTTACTCTTACTCTGAAAAACAGGCACATAAGCTGCTGAGAGACGATGCAGAGGACTACACACCCACTGCACACACACACACAGCTATGAGAGGGAGGCCGGTGAGTGGTTTATATTCTAATTTCCACATCAAAAAGTGACACAGATATACTGAAATATACAGATATCACATTTTGTTCACACACATAATACACAAACTGAAGAAAGAAAGCAGGAGGCAAGAGGCTGAATTGTTACTACAGCGATGATGTGACAGATGTTGACCATTTGTAAATTCTCAGCCTTCTATTTTTCCCCAGTCACCAAGCACTTCTCTGTATAGCTGGAAGAAGTTTGATGATGAGTTGTTTCCTCAATCCAGTCTTTCCTACGCTCAGATTACTTATTTTGTTCCCTCAAATGAATAATTTATGACGACAAATACAAAATTGTGCTCTCAAATTACTATTTTTGTCTGTTTTTCAGACCAAAATTAAAGTAAAACTGTATTAAAGCCAAACAGTCCTTAGCAGTTGTCGAGGGCAAAAGTTCCATGAAAAGACCCAAAGTGACAACAAATTGATATCTTGTTATCTGATATATCCTCTGTGCCATAGAGCTCCACCACACCGTTGCACTGGGCAACATTTTCCTTCATTACTGTGAACACACACACTGTATCTTATTTTAACTCAGTCCCACATACACCGTCCTGCTGCCCCAAATACTCACTAGAGTGGACGAGACTGGATTAATCCAACGCCAAAAATAGTCCCCAACAAATGTACAATTTCCTCCTGTTTGAGTAACTACAGTGACTAGCTTTTTAAAAAAAAATAAACTATATATTTGTAACTTGTTTTTTAAGATGTATGTCCTTAGTAACCAATGGGCTTGAGCCTGAGAGCCACAGACAGGGTAGAGAAATCAGAAAGTATCGAGAGATAGACCAACAAATTAGTAGTTTGGGTCTTTTGGACTTATTTGTTGACAGAATTCCTTAAATACATCCTTAAATCTGAGGGAATAAAATAAGTATTTTAGGGTACAAGTTACTAATTTGAGTGCATGATTTACCCACTTGGGGGAACATACTAATATTTCAACCCTGATGCTTAAACTGCTGAAACCTTTTGTTCCTTTTGCTCCACAGTAAAATCAAAGATATTATTCCTCACCTAAACACAAGTAAAATACGTCCAAGCGAGAGGTTATCACTGGTTTCACAGAGTAATGTTAACTGGGGTCTGAAGCAACCAGCTACTTCTCTCATAATATGGCACCTTATCAGGCAGGAAAAACAATGGTTATCATCAAATTCTTCCTTTAACAAGTCTTCAAACATTCAGTCTGCTTGTAAAAATCTCCAACAACACAATCCATCATTGGATCAGTGGTTTTAAAAACAATCCGCTTTTCTTTCCACATTCAGAAAACTTGTTCTTTGTTCTTTTATTTATGTCCAAAACCAGTTTTTATCCATCAGAGGATGCAGTGTAAAGTTCCAGAGTTGAGTCCTCGTATTGCTTTGTCTTTCAATATGGCAGATGGCTCTTAGGAGGAAGGAGTTTGTAGGAAAATGCAGGGACTCCAGTACAGAGCCCTGAGGGACCCATCACGACGAGGAGAGGCTGAACATACTGGCTCAGTGTAGTGCAGAGAAGGAAATTCAAGCCTCTGTCATCCAGTTTTACACCTCTGTTCACAGTTAATGATCCACCTCCCTGTGTAGTTGTGCAGCTAGTTCGAGATGTTGCTATGTGCTTGGGTTTAAGATAGAGCTGTAGGCAATATGTTAAAGGATAATTTAGATTTTTCGGTCTTGTTTTTGCCAAAATAATGATTGTTTAAAAACCACTGACTTCATTACACAGCTTGTAAGTACTGCTGTCCACTACATTGAGCAGAGAAAATTGTTATTTTAACAATTGTTATATTGCGTAATTTTATTGGTGAGTAGTATAACAGCAGCATGTTGAGAAAGCGGTGCACATCCCGGAAAACCTTTTCAGACTAAAGCAATTAAAGAACAACTTAACAGAAGCTGAAAATCTTGATTTCGCTGACCTCCAGGGATTTAACCTCTCACCTCGACACAGTGATGTGAAAGTGTACTCCAGAGTGTGTTAGTACACTATGACATCACTGTTGGGTGGAGAGAATAAACTCAAAACTTTAAAGCAACACTAAACAACTTTTGCTCAACAGCTTGCTCAACAGTTTGCTGAAGTAGCCATTAGTCATATCAGACCATATAAGACTGCACCAGCAAAACATTTGAGTATAATTCAACAAGAATCTTTTTTTCTTTATTATGAACTAAACATTTGATATATAAAACATTAGCTACCATAATACTGTGCAGCCAATTACCAGAGAATTCAGCAAGTGTATTCTATTATATTTAACTTTCCATTACTTCTTCTTTCTAAAGTTACATCACTTTAAACCACAGTGAACAACTTCAGCTTACTATTAAGCCACTCTTTAAATACTGTGATACCACATGCAGCTATTTTTGTTTATCTGCAATGTGACGTTATTGTATTTTGTGTTTAAATATCAGTAACTTTACTGGATGTGCACCAAAAAGATGTCAATTCAAAACGCAATCATCATGGTGGCAAAAGCTTAAATTAACCAGAATTATAGTTTACGTAGCTTATGTGGAAAATAAACAGCCTTTTAACACAGAGGCTCCATAGTGCCTTGAACAATTTACATACATAGCTTCAGAAAATACAACATTGTACATAATACAGGAGTGTATAGCAGAAGCATAAGAGATCAGTATTTATTGAACATCTGTGTGACTTTAATTTGTTAAACTGTTGAAGCAAAAATCACCTCTGCATGGTTTACAGCATGCCAAGTGCCACTTAACAGTTATAAATTCTCAGTTTTGATAAACAATTATACCAATTATTTAATAGTTAGAGCCGTTTTAAGATGATTCCCAAGTCAAAGGTTACACACAGGCAGCTAGTATGCTTTTTAGTGGAAAACTAACATAAGAACATGAACAATTTCTTTCCATCTTTTTCTTTCATCGCCCTTAACAGTGCTCTTTATCTCCCAGGCACGAGAGTCCTTAGGTGCAATGTCCTTTATAAGGTAAATGGGAGTAACAATGCTGCAGAGATGTACAGGATACTTAATAGACACCAACTATGACATTCAGAGTCTCTCTTTGACCGCGGAGTTTGGAAATGGAGTGCAGTTGTGGCAGGTCGCTTATAAACAGTTTATCAGAGAGTTTAGATCAGAATGAGTCAAGGCAGAGCCAAAATCCCTCCAACAAATTCTCTTTTTGGTCCTCAGACTCATTTGACCAAGACCACAGTCTGCCCGGTCTCGGCCTTCTGGGAACAGTTGTCCGTAGTTTTGGTGTTGTCGGCGCGCGGGCGGCGCAGATTCAGAAAGCTGAAGCGTGCCTCCAGGCTGAAGCTCCTCTTGGTGCTGGAAGTGGAGCTGCTGCTGCTGCTGCTGCTGCTGCTGTTGTTGTTCGTGGTGGCGGCCGGAGCGTTGTCCAGATCCCCCTCTGCACCTTCTGCCCGGTCACCTGCAGCACCGGAGAAGGTCAGTGAATGGTTAATGAGACGTGAGCATGATTGGCACTAATTATTAAACAGATTAAACAGGTATCAGTGCTAACTGGATGTCCCTGTTTCTAGCCAATATCGCAAGATTTCGCTGTTGTTGCAACCTGCTGCACTCACGTGTTTAACATCAAAATGTTTGGCTGGAGAAGAGTTGGTGGAATGTCTTAAAAAGTGAGAATCCACAAAAAAGTAAAACCACATCTGCGAGGGAAAGACGTCATTCCAACAACACACAAACAACAGGTATACAGAACAATCTCATTTATGGGAACGAACAGGTGGACACACACACACACACACACACACACACACACACACACACACACACACACACACACGAGCACTCTCAGTTATTCATTAAGGCCGACAGAAGTGTGGAGAACTATTGCAGATGTTTTTCGGCTCTGCAGGTGAAGCGCTCGGCTCGCTGTCACTTTGACTAATAGGCTCCTGTGGCGGAGCAGGTGTGAGTCGAGCAGGTAGCGCCAGATCGTACGTCTTTCCCAGAATAGATTCTTAAACATCATCCATCTCACTTCCCAGTTTCTTTTCTTATTTGTGTTCCTCCTGTGTAACAGCACGTGCTGCACACAAATGCACCCATTTGCAGGTGAGCAGCCGTCACTTGCAGCCGAACATTTCGAACCCGATTTATACACCTGTTAATAAAACATATATCTCTATACTACTGCTACTTTAATGTTTATTAACGTCTTATTACCTTCTACTGATAAAAACCATTAAGGAACAGCTTACAATGAAACTTCCTCGGAACATCCCTTGTTATTTATATTTATGAAAATGTAGATATTTGAAACCTTTTAAAAAGGGGAGAAAAGTGTCGCTATATTCTGCTGTAACACAGAAATCACCCACCTCTCTCCAGGTCGCATTCTGGTGACGACGCTCCACTGCACTCGCTGCGAGGCCCGAGCACCGGAGAGATGAGGCCGAAGTCGGACAGCGACACGGTGCTGGGAAGGTCCAGGCTGCAGGGCCTGGACAGAGGAGACGGAGAGGAGGAGGAGGAGGAGGGTGTGGGCGACGGAGAGGCGGAGGAGGATGTGCAGGGGGAGGACGAGGAGGAGCTGGCGAAGGGGCAGGGCGACAGGAGCTCCTGAGGGCTGCTGGGAGATGAGCCCAGGCTGCAGGTGGAGCGAGTCTCCGAGTCTTCCTCCGACATGATGCTGCTGCCGCCACAAGCCTCGTCATCGAAACACACAGACGCCACTGCGGGCAGGAAGAGAGAGAGAGAGAGAGCAAGAGTTTAGAGGTATACGTGATGGGAGAAAGGGGGGAGGAAGAAATGAAAATGGTGCAGAGGGAGAGGAGAGCAAAGTGCAAAATGAGACAAAGAGCAAGACGGTTCCAAAAAGTATTGAAAGAAGAAGAAATAAAAGGAAAGATGGAGGGAAGGAAGGAGGAAATTGAGCGTGAAAGGAGACAAGAAGGAGTAGTGATGAGTGAAGGAAGGATGAAGGGTGAAGAAAGGAGAATGGGATGGAAGAGAAGAGAAGAGTAAAGAGGTGGGGAGAAATGAGACGAGGGAGGGAAAGAGAAGGATGTAGGGTTGAAAGAAAGAAGGGGGAGATAAAAGAGAAAGGAGGGAAGGTACAGAATGAAAAGAAGGAGAAAGGGAGTGGAGGGAGGGAAATGGGTAAGAGGACAAAGAAAGAGAGGACAGAAAGATGGAGGAGTGATGGACAAGGACAGGAGGAGGTATAATGGACAAAGAAAAAAGAGGGAAAGAAAGTGTGAGTAAGAGCAAATGAGATATAAAAAGAACTCTAAAGTGTCACATAACTCCCAGCGGAGGAGTTTCACTTCCCCCGACAGAAATCAAAGCACACGAACGCACCATCGGCTGTCGTTATATTCAGCCACAGATTCCACGGTGCCTGCTCTGGGATTGGACGCCTCCGCTGCTCTGCGGTTACCATGGTAACGCTTTTCTATTTATTCCAAAGTGAAGACGAACGTGATGTAGACGGCACGGCATCGTCTCAAGTAAACTGCAGCCCAGTTCTACACATGTTAAAGTGTTTGTTCACCGACTGCCTGCCGTCCTTTACAACCTCCGTTCTCTGTGTGCTCTGACGTAAGCAGCGCTCCTGAAGGGTCTCTCTCTCTCTCTCTCTCTCTCTGGCTTCCAGACAGAAGAGCCAGACAGCTCTTTCAAAAAACCAATTACTCTTTAAAAAGATACGTTTGCTGTATCTCGTTCTGTCTGTGCTATTCTAAAAGTTACTTCACTGACCCCCATTTATCACTAAAGGAAGCTAAATGACAGAAGAGCGATTGAATCTCGCTGCAGCTGACCCTGACATTTACAGTCACCGGGTGAGCACAGCTGTTACTGTGGAGGCTGACAGCAGAGCGGCATGATGGGAAGGTTTAACATTTACTAATTGGCCTTTTATCTCATCAGGAGAATCGTGCGATACGTTTCAAGGTTTGTGCTGAATAGAGTTTATGTAACAAGGTAAGAGGACCTGAGCTGAACAACTGTGGTTCTCTTTCACACACGTCCTTCTGTACTCACTGGATATTCCGTCCGACTCCATCTTAAAGTTTGAGATGTCGTCCCCGGAAACACTATCGCCCTCGGCGCCCACGCCGCGCCCCCGGGGGCCCATGGCGGAGTTTCGCCGTCGCTCGTGGATCTCGTCGGAGATCATCTCCAGGTTCCTGAGGGCCGTCTTATACTCGCCTTTGGCCTGAGACAGCTTGGCCTGCCGCTCGTCCACGTTCTTCTTCAGGTTCTGGAGGGGGGGAGACGATAGGATGAGCCCACAACCACACCCAGACAATGCTGTCCAACAATGCTAACAGCTCTCATTTGTGTTTTAAGTCACAGAAAAACAACTGCAGTCTAATCACAGCCTAAAGCACACACACAACCACAGCATCGTCGCTGCAGCACAGACATGGCGAGTCAACGCATTCTGAATGTTTGGACTTTGTGCTCAAGGTATTTAACCCTTGATCGAGCTCCAGCACGGCTACATCAACAGCTGCACCGAAAATTATCCTATCCTCCAGAGGGATTCAGAGGGGTCGAGAGGGGGAGTAAATTACAGCCGAGCAGCCGTCACGTACCTCCAGCTGCAGATAGTACTTCGCCTTCATCTCAAAGTAGGGCCTGCGGAGGAGGAGGAGGACAGGAGAGAGAGGGAGAGGGGAGAGAGAGGGGAAAAGATTAGATCAGAGGGGAAAAAATACAGAGTAACCCAGAAACTAAGAGCAGTACCCACACCATCACCATGGCAACCTGGAGGAAGAGAGGGAGATAAAGGGGTTGTGATGTTGGATGAGCGTACGGTGCAGAGCGGATTAACACCCTGCTGAGATGACACGCAGCCAGACTGCGGCTGATCATTCAGTAAAGAAACTAAATACAGAACCAAGTGCTGAGAGAAGATATGCACGTTTCTTACTCGGCACAGTTTTCAGTGACATTTCCTGTATCGACAATATAACAAATAATAATCTTCCATTAAATATGTAAAAGTTCAATTTGCAAAACCACAATGTAGAAATCCTCCACTAAAATATCATGTCAATAAAATCTGATCAAAGCGTTCCCACACAGTGTAACATTTACAGTGTGTAACATTTACAGTGCGTAACATTTACAGTGTGTAACATTTACAGTGTGTAACATTTACTGTGTGTAACATTTACTGTGTGTAACATTGAGGAGGATCTATTGGCAGAAATTGAATATAATATTTATAGGTATGTTTTCATTAGTGTAGAATCACCTGAATATAAGAATTATTGTTTTTCGCTACCTCAGAATGAGACGTTTTATCTACAGAGTAAGTAGGTGCTCTTCCACAGACTCCACCATGTTTCTACAGTAGCCCTGAATGGACAAACCAAACACTGGCTCTAGATAGGGTCTTTCATGGTCACCATAGTTTCTCTTACACAATGTGAAGGGGACGGTGAGTTGACGGAGTTGCAATCTGAAACTACACCACTAGATGCCACTAAATCCTCCACACTGGTCCCTGAAGAGATAATAAAAGTTCGGAAACTTTAAGTGAACACAACTGGGAGAATAGTAAGGGACATAGGACATGCATGTCTTTACTAACCCTCTTCTGGATGAATACTTTTTGTTCCCTTTTAAATACTTTTTCAGACATGTTAGTAACTGTTAATGTTTCAGCTCATCTGTACATTGACTTTACTTCTGCCTCTGGAAAGCGTTAGATAACGGCAGGAGGCTGACACGGCCTTCCACAGGCTCTGAGCAATAAGGTATACACATGGGGATTGAGGGAGGGTCTTATGTAATTTATCAGCTCTGAAACAGAAGTTTTACTGAAAGTTGGGTACAGAAACGTTACCCTGAGCTCCAAACGTAATCTTACTCAACAGGGAAATTAACTTCTTGACAGCCCATTAATGGAAACGGGAAAAAATAATGGCACTGAGATGTGATGTCACCTTCTTGCGTGCAGGGCGATTTAGAGATATTAAAGGTTTGAGTGTCCGTGGGCTTTCGGGCAGATGATTTACAGTTTTTATTTTCAATAGGTGATTAAAATATAAAATCTAAGGAAAAAAACCATAAAAATGGAATCCATTTGCTGAGTGGTGTTTGAAAGCTGAAACCCTGCCGTGCAAACAGTGTGTAGTTTAACAGTTTCTTTTTAAACTTGCGCAGAGGGAATCTTGCTGCTCATCTGCATTTTAAATACCAGAAGCATTTTCTGGGCTTCTTTTCAACTGTGGGGAAAATTGCTTTTAATTATCAGTGGCTTTTTTTTCAAATGTGGGTATTTTTTCAGTCACAAATCTGTGTTTCAAATTTGTGCATCTTTATTTGTTTTGAATAAAAAAGCCACCATGACGTAAAATCAAAGGATGGACATGTGATCTCTGGGAAATGCAAAAATACCTCGCCCAGTCATGCACAGAAATACCAAGAGACAATACTGCAGAGGGAAATTCTATGCTTGTTTATTCATTATATTTCATTTCAGAGTTATCACCTGGAACATGACTAATGCTGAGGTTTCGCTCTGACAACCGCATCATTGTGACATTACAGGAGCATCACCTCGTGACAGATTTCCCCTCAAACACCTGACTGTTTGGTTGTGGTTGTGGTTGAGTTTCACTGCTTTAGAGAGACACCACTTTCAGCAGAATGGGGAAGAGCAACCTGCTCTTTAAAAAAACGGCTCAGGTGCAAGTTAAAAAAATAAGACTTCAGACCTCATCAGGGTTAAACAGATGGATCGGGCTTAACCTGCTCGGAAAGCCAGAAACCACATCGTCTGGTTTCATTGAGGTCTGGTGGAGGGACAGCGAATGTCTGCTGCCGGACAGATTGATTGCTCTTATAATCAGTCCTGTGTGTGTAAGTGAGACTCCCCCTGTAACAGATGACATTATGCTGATGGGGACTTCTTTGTCTGCAGCTCAACATTTGGCTAACGTCACCCACTAGCAGACAGTCGTGTGCTGGCAGCTCGGCACCTCGCTGTGACCACATGCCAGTCCGGCAAAGAACACGATTAATGGCCAAACATAAAACCAGGCTGGAAATACTGCGGTATGAGTAATGTTCTGAGTATATGTGAACTGTTTGAGGAGGTACTTTTAGTTCTAAATACACAAAATAGTCTTCTGGTCAGCCCTGGTCTGTACTCGCGAAGGATCCCAAAATGTATACAAATCAGGCCACGGACCCATATTTAATAAGATTTAGTCTCAGGGACCCCTGTCTGAAAAGATTTATATGAATATTCTGTTTATATAACTGTTGATATTAACAGATAAACAGTACAGAGTGTTTAACCTGTGAACAGAATAATCCTTATCTCAGTGGGTTTACTTCTAGTCAATTAAATTATTGTGAAATTAAAATATTTCCCATTTTTCTAGTCAGGTTGAGAACCACTGCTCCAAAACACATTTGACAAAAATCTGACTATTTGACCTAAACTGTTGTCTTTAATGGCATTAGCTTGAACAAAACACACTAATCACAATTATATGAAACTAAAAATACAGTAATGACACTAGCTTCTATTTGACACATAACCTCGTTTGCTCGTCCATATTTGATTATTAGCGAGCTAAGAAACAGATTAGATTAAACAACAAGAACGCAGTTTCAGGCGAAATTATTAAATTAAGTTTGAACTTTGTTGAACGTATGACGATATCTTCATACAGTCATTAAAAGCTGCTGTCAGTCAAAGTACTATTTTGAGATAAAGCGGTATTATTTGTAAAAAAAAAAAAAAAAAGATTATTTATTTATTGTCAGAAATCTAGGACTCTCCCTAAAATCTTTTAACTTTATTCACTTTAACATCGTCCTAAAACTGCCAGAACAGCTAAAAGTACCACTGCTTACTGCTAACCCCTAACCCTGTTCAGAGCTGCTGAGCTCCGATGTGGCTGCCTGAGTGCACGTTAATCCTCTTTCCCTCCCTCTCTGCCACATTAATGAGCAGTCACAGTTGGTGTGTTTGTTGAGCTCTTACTTGGACTTGTTGATGGTGCGTTTGAGTTTTTTCTCCAGCTGCTTCATGCGGCCGATTGCTGCCGTGTATTTGGCCGCCGTCTCCTTGTGCACCAGTTCGCTTCTCGTCTTAGTGTGCTCCGCCTCCATCACCTGTAACAGCCAATCAGAACTCACCGTCAGCCACGCACAGAGAAGGAGAAGATGCAGAAGAAGGAGGAAAAGAAGAACAAACTTCCATTTCTGGTGTCAGCCCCCCCCCAACCCTCCTCACCCGCTGGGTGGCGTGGTTCAGCATCTCCTGCCAGGCCGAGTCAAACTGCCGGTTGTCCTCCTCCAGGAGCCTCTGCTCAGCCAGCGAGATGGTCTCCTTCGCCGCCCGCAGGACCTCAGTGGCTCTCTGGAAGTCCTGGGTGGCCTTCTGGGCCTCCAGCTGGGCCTGAAAGACACAGAGAGAGAGATCAATTATAAAAACATCACAGACCAGCTGATATACAATGGAGGCTTTTTATGGTTGTTCCTGCCTGAGGAAAACAATCACAACCCATGGTCTTTATTACGCCTTCGGGCCTATTTTACAGCTACAGTGTATTTATTATCTTCGGCAATTATTATTAATAATAATAACAACAATAATATTATTATTAGTAAGATTGTATTCACACGTGGTCAACAAGAGGCCGATGCAGGTCAGTCAGTCAGTCAGTCAGTCAAACAACCTACTCACATGTAGCTAATCTGAATTTCTTAATCTATGGAGAACTGTAGAAATCATTTTCGCCATGTTACATCTGCTCCTTATGAAGCAGTGATTCCACTATAAACATTTAGTTGTGAAACCAGTTTAATCTTCCCACCTAAGCTGTAAATTTACTCCCACAGCTGCTCCTCATGTCTTAATGAATTCACTGTGGGACTGCACACTTCAGGCACTCTTCATCCACAGAGCACTTTGCACGATACATAACTTGTTTTTATGTTAAAAGTGCTTCATGTCCTCTTATTTACTGACTGATTTTCTCTCCTGAGTAACTTGCCCTTCACCAAACCCTGCATTAAATTAATTAAATAAATACAATTATTGTCCCGTAAAAGTCTAAATTAACCTTTATGAATTTAGAAGCTTATTTAAGACGATTGAATCTTTTAGTCAATAAAATGTCAGAACATTTTCTCTGGCATGCACTGTAAATAAAGACTTATCAGCAGTAAATGTCATGTTTTTTATGTTAGGAGTCTCTACAGAGAAACACCAGGCACTTTTTCACTACTCTGCTGATCAAAATCATATCATATCATATCCATATGCATTTTTGCTTGAAATAATAATTAAGAATAATTAATTTTATGTTCATCAAGCATTAATCAATCAGTAGTTTTCTCAGATAAGAATTCACTTATAAACACGTGTTTGTCCCATTTCATTCAGGGAGCTGAGCATCTCATCCATTGAGTTCTTGTTGAGTTTAAATCCAGAACATATGACACACACAGGGACAAAAATAACCCAGATCAGTGTAAAAAAATAGAAACGTTAAAGCGCTTAAGGCCAACAGCAAAGGTCTTTGTTATCATGGTCAAGCGCCGCGCTACAAAAGACTTCACATGTCGGAATGATGTGAAACGCAAGATGAGACCGTCGTCATGCTTCAGTGGGAGTGAATATGTGTGAATGCATGTTGTGTGTGTGCCTCTGGGTAACTGGACAATAGAGGGTGGACGTGGAGTGTGTATAAAATCTAATAACTACATGTCACTGAGTAAAGTACGGCATAGTGTTTTGAGAGAACTTCTGTTATGATATAAAAGTACCACTGAATTTTTTCAAGGTTATGAAGAAAAACCTTTTTGCTGAATACTCTGACAGATTACTGGAATTAGGACAAGAAAGCCTTATTGCTCTCTCCCAAATAATGTTAATATAGAAAAGAATATAATAATATAAGAAAAAGTATTTTTGTTAATTGCCTAAAAAATATTTCTTATAATTTTCTTCTTGGTATTGAAGTATTTTAATTTACAAACAGAGCAGCCGCTGTTTCTTGCTGATTTTTTTCTCAGTGTAGAAAATGTAAAGATTTTCTCTGGTATGCATCCTAATGTATACACCTATCAGCAGTAAATGTTGTGTTTTTAATGTTAGGAAGTGATGTTAGGCACTTATTCACTACCTCTGCTTGTTAAAAACCCTCTAAATTCAGTAAAATCCTTTAACCGTGCACAGTAGCAGTGTTTATTCTGTCATCTTAGGGCGGCTGATGGCAAGAATCAACACTTTTACGTAGTAAGGTTTCTGGCATTCGCCCATAACCATCTACAGTCATTTACACACTTTATGATAAAGAAATGGAAGTTATGTGGTTGTATTTAAAATCAAGCGGGTACATTTTCTGCCACTGTCTGTTAGTGAAGGGTCACAATGCGTATTGTAAAATCAGTTACTGCATGAGGACGAGCTGACGAGGCTGTGAGCAATCCTATAAACTGCAGATGTCTTATTCACAAGCCTTCAGTGTGTGTGTGTGTGTGTGTGTGTGTGTGTGTGTGTGTGTGTGTGTGTAGGCCTGTGTCAGCAGCATTCAGCTGATCCTTCCTTTCGTCTGATGTGTAAACTGGAGCAGGCAGCACTGACTTTAACCCAGAATGAGGTGTTTTTCTGTGACTGAAAGTGTGTGTATGCAAACGTACAGTATGAATGTGATGAATCATCACTGATGTGCTGCAGTAAATTCCAGCTCATATCTCTCTCTCTCTCTCTCTCTCTCTATTTCTGTGAAAGCTGTAAAATGTTTTTTTAACAAACACGTGGACATGGAGGAAGAGCTCAGTAAGAAATAAACCAATGCAGACTGAACTGTACTCAGGCTCGGTGAAGCATATATATATGAAGCAGCTGAAGACAGTTTACTCAATATAAAATCAGAAGTTGATTCTACTGACCCAGTTCACTCCAACTGAGTTACTGTAAAAGCTTTGCTGTCTGTTTCTCCATCTCAGTATCTATACGTAGAGAGAGGAGCTGAACCCACAGCTTCCTGGTTTGGTCACAAATTCCCCAGCCACCTTCTCTATCTATAAATAAAAATAATAATCATAGACTAGTAGTATACATATTCGCATTAGTTGTACCAAAAAGGCTTGTATGCAAATTTGGGTTTATGTGAGCAACACCAAATCAGGTAAAGTAAGTAAAATGCCACTACAGGCGAGAAAATCCAGCAACTCACTGACGATGTGGTTGCTAGAAGAAGCTAAGGAGTGAGCTAGGGCTGCACAATTATTGGGACAGAAAGGATTATAACGAAATACTGTAGTTCTGAAGAGATGCCCTGGCCTACAAATATTGTTCTGCAGATGTAAGAAAACATGTTTGGTACAGACCTTAACCAATGTCAAATGATCCCAATTTCAATAGTTTAATCAGTAAAAATGAAAACTATTCCTAATTTTGTTTTTAGCTTTTGACATCGACCATCATGGTAAAGGGGAAAAAGGGAATTAGGGACTCAATATCAGGAGTATCAGTGCTAGAATGAATGAATGGATAAGGCTGATAAACCAGTTGGTGATCAATATTGTCTTTGTATTAGAAAGTGAATATCAGACTGTAAGGGTTGTCAGTCATAAATTGATGCAGTTTATTTCCACATTTACTGGATAACTGATAATCTAAACTGATTCCAATGCCACAGATGTATGTAATTAGTATGCATGAGTATTGATTGTTGTTCTATTTACATTATACTGATGCAGGCAATGCAAAATGAAAATGAAAACCCACAGAACATTTGTATTTATCAGCAGTTTCAATCCACAGATCCACTATCTGTCTCCCATCAGCTCTCTCTGTCAACCTCTAGTCTGCAGACGCTCTGACATCACCACATGCTCGCTGTAATTTCATTATGGACACTGCCAGCGCAGCAGGACGCAAACAACCTCGGCCTTGTTGCCGCCATGTGTTCGGCTTTGTATTCCACGCTGCCTGAATGCACATGCCGACTGAACGCTCCAGAGAGCGTGTGTTACCTACAGTAATGTCTCCTGTGGACTGACATGAAGACCGTACTGTAGCCAACATGAGCTGACATACATGTCTTTGTCTTTTCAAAGTGTCTCTGAGCAGCAAAAGTCAACTCACGCATGTTTGTGTTCTCAGACGAGAAGAGTTGCGTCGCAGCAGCGAGGTTTGGTGTTATCTGCAACAATGATGTTTAAATGAGAAACTAACTGCCAGCATTGATCATTTACTGTCCCCGGGAATTAATCCCAATCAATCTGGTAACCCCCTGACTTTCCTTTTAGTATCCCCAACTATTGGAAATAGGCACCAAGGGACGGGAACGACGGCTGTACGGCTGTATGTCCCACTGCGGATGAAGAGGATCAACTCTAACACTAACATGCTAAAAATAAGCATTGTATCATGCTCACTGTGTGCATGTTAAGGTCCAGATGAAATGAATAATGAAAAAAGATTACATCCCCAGCCTTACTGTGCATTCATCCATCTTCAGCTTTTAGCGATAAGATTCATTAGCGAGCGAGCTAGCTAACAGCATGGCTATCTACCGGAGTGTTTCTGGGGGCGACAATATGGTTCTCCCTCTCATGTCCTCGGGCTGCTCAGCCACAGTGGGAATGACGGGGCTGTGGGGGCAGTTATTTGCCTTCAGACTGATTCATGTTGAAGCAACACGTTGACTCCGACGTGTCCTGTATACGTCTTCCATACAGAGGATGCCATTTTCATTTGAACGTGACTTTTATTTTGGCGCCATCAAGCCAAACTTCAAACTTTTGCCCCACTAATGGTAAAGATCTGCAAAAAGCAAAGAAGTGATCTCTCCATTTGTCATCCTCCTAATGAATACAGCCTCACATGGCCACTTGAGCTGCAAAGTTTTCATCTTGTTTTCCTTCTCTACCTCCTCCTCCTCCTCCTCCTCCTGTCACGTTGCCCAAGAGAATCCCATCCTACACGTGCTCACTCCCTCCTCTTCCACCCCACCCCCCGCCTCCCTCATTCTGTCAGCACAAACATTGAACACTCGGCTTGGTCTACTTCAGTCAGGTCATAAGAAGTTTTCCCAGTAAACACTTTTACCAGACCAGAAAACAAACTTGCAGACTAAACAACTTGTTTATCGTCTAATTCATGTGACCAGCACGCTTCTTAACTGCAACGTCACACTCAGTCATACTGTTGCAAAGCTAAATGTCTGTTCATGTTTTTCATGGTTGAGTAGTTTCATAAATGGAACAAAAATGCACAAAATAAAAGCACATTCAAAACGGAGCGTGTCTGATTTTCAGACGCTCCGCAGAACAAGTGAAGCACAACAACAGACCAACAACTAAACGCAGCGGGAACACACAGCTTCAGCCTTTTTCTCCCATTGTCCCAGATTTTCATGGCAGCGCTAACATGTCAGCTAC